TAGTGTTGTTTTATATATATAAATATATTTTAATTTTTATTCACTGCCTTTTGCTTTCTTTCTTTCACTTCCACCAGCACTTTCATTGGATAGAGGTCGCTTGGTAAAATATCTATCCAAAGAGATTTGGCTTTGCCTACTTTTTAAAATGTTTCTAAAATGACTTAGGCAAATGTCATTACTCTGAGCAGCAATACGGCCAGTGTGAACCTTTTTGGGATGTTTCTTTTCAATAAAATCAGTCACTTTCTGATAATACCTCAAGATTTCCTTTATCGAGCAAGATCCTTCCACGACGAAGCAAACACGCAGACTGAGACCGATGAACAGAAGTGAATAAAAAATTGCACTGTTAACTAATGTAACGTCATATGGTGAGTTTTTGTTCGTATCATGGAGCAAAGGTATGTTCAAATTTCATGTCATATCCTGAAAATTTCATATGCTGGGGCGTTCGTATCCTGAGGTACCACTGTATATTAAATTTCTGAGACCAATAATAATAAAATATTTACTTGCTAGCACGATAAAAAATTGCACATCCATCTACATGTTTCCTTTCTCCTTCCGACATTGTCTTGGCTCTGGATTTTGGAGAAAATATTCCACTAAACCCTTCTCGTCTTAATTCAGGTAAGAAGAAGTTGTAAAACTGTTCTGTTTCTACCTCCTATAAATTAAAATATCAAATATTAATCTCAAAATACTCAAATTTATTATTACACGTAATATAATCAATAATTAAAAGATTTAATATTAAAATTATTCAGAGAGCCAATATTTTTCAATTGATGTGTTAAGATTTTCATATAGAAGTCAGTACATTTAGTATCAAATAATTTAAATTTTTAGTTTAAGTAAATGCATTATACACTCAAAATTTATATGTTAATAGTAGTCAAAACATTTAAAAATTAGCCATTAGTTTAGTCACCTTCTGATTTATTCGTGTACGCACCAGATGGAAAAAGAAAAAATATTGTGTATCCACAAACACTCCAATAAATAAATAGAATTGAAATGACACTTTGAAATGTTTTCCCAATGAAAATGAATAATAATAATAATAAGTTTCAATAAAAATGATAAAATGTAAATTGAATTTTATCATAACGAGTTTGCTTGAATTTCCTTTCTCCTGAGATCGCAGCAATGCGCAATGGGTAAGCTAGTTTATTATAAAATAAAAGGTGTCAACATTGAAATATATTTTAAAACATAAAAATATAACCACATTTTCAAATAATAATATCATACTATTAAAGCAATTAATATGTTGTACCTGTATTCGCTTATTCTTTTGGAGTTATATACTGGACATGCACACTTCTTGAGCAATTTGAAAGGAAAACAACAACACTTATTAAGCATAAAAAATATCATCCAAAACCATCTATAAAAAGACTAACTTTTCCTTGTAAAGATGTTAGCCATGGGCTGGCTAATATTAGATTTAAATAAATGAAATGACCAATTTTTACTTCTGACGTTGAATGTTTAGTAATTTAATTTAAAACTTACACATTCAACCAAAATTGTCACCACCAACATTAATACTCTCTTCCCCCTGCAATAGAAATGCATTAATGCAATTTGATAGAAATCATGAGAATGAGAAGCCAAGAAGTCATTAAATTGTATCCTCTTCCTTGAAGACTTAGTGATAGTCTGTTGGCAAAAAGTATGGAGAATAAGGTGAATGAGGAAGAATTTTATTTTAATAATTTCATGTCCAAGCAGATAAGTGTTGTTATTGCTGCCAAAGATGACTACTCTGGGTATTAATTTTTCATGATCTATACCTCCAAATTTCCTGAAAATTTAATTATTTGTTCTTCCCACTATAATGTGTGTGTGTAATAAATATCATTCTGTTTTTTGCATTCCTTCCTGGTGTAGCAATTTTAATGGCCAATAGTGTATTATTATGTTATAATAGTTATATAAAATATGCTATTTTAACCTCTCACATATATAATTATTTAAATCAACATAAGTTTTATCTATCAAAATTTCATACTTCAGAATTATAAATGAAAAAAACAACAAAATATTTTAAAAAATTGATTCAGTAACATATAAAACTAATTTTTATTAATTAAATATTTATATAGGTTACAAAAAAAAATTTTAGTAAATATATCACAATCTAAGTACAATAATATCTAACTTCTTTATTACTGAAAGTGACTGAACTAATTATAAAATAATTAAAAGCAGGTCAATTTGCAAATGAGAACAATATAAATATTTCAAATTTAAATAATAATTTTTAAAAATCTTAATTCTACACATTTTTTAAAAATTTGGTTTTTACTGAAATACTATTTCTTAACTCAAACTAAATTTAACTAAATGCTTGAAATTTATATTTCATATTAATTAATGTACTATTTTAAACAACTGATTAATAATAATAAAAAAAAAAAACTTAAATTACTGTTGATGAAATTACTGTGCTATTTAATTAATTAATTAAACTAAGTTTCAAAATGAAGGCTTGACAGATTCAGAAGTTTATGATTCTGCTTCTTTAAGTTTTATTTATTTATTATGAATCAAATCTGAATTTCTGAGTAATAAAAATTTCAAGCAATTGACAAACAATTTGTTTGTAATAATCTAAAGATCTGTTTTCAAATATTATTGAAACAATCAAATAATCGGTAATGAAGAATAATGTGAGTAATGATCTGTCAAGTAATAAGAAATAATAGAAACTGAGTTTATGATCACAATAAGAATATTTTTTCTATACACTTTTTAAATAAAGTTAATCAGAATGTAATAATTCTGATGATAATGAACTGAAAACATTCAATATATGTTAAATATATTCAACCAATTCTGAAAATATTCAAATGACTATCAGTATGGAGTATATTTCATTTTTACTTATTTAATAATACAATTTTTTAACAAGACAATTCATGTTAACAATTTTTATTATGATATTTTATCATAGAATACAAGTAATACAAGCATCCAAAGACATATAAATGAGAAAAAGCAGTATAATTTCTATTCTTGTATATGTATATGTATATAGTATATGCACTAAACCATACATCTTCATTATTGCAACTTAATAAAACCAATTTTATTTGAAAATTTAATTTATATCAAATAATAACCAATCACATTTCTCCTACTTAAATATCTCTTAAATATACTAATGATGCAACGAATATTTGGTTACTATTCAGCTGAATATCTAAAAGAAAAAAAATAAAAATAAAAAAAAAGTAAGAAATAACAAAAAAACAGTAAATTAATCATTTTGGTAACTTTTATTAATGCTGAACATACATTTCAAGTTTGAGAAAGTTATATTACCTTCCCTTTGATCTTTTACATAAATAAGCAAAAAATTGCACTAAGTTAATTTTTTAGGAGATAAAAAAAAAGGTAACAAATCATATGAAAACTACCTACTTATTATGTAGTTTAGTCATCTATATACTCGTGTATAAAAGAACAAGTCCTGATAGGATAATTAACGCAGAGCCAAAACTACTGGTTCTAGAATTTGAGGGTGTGTTCCTTTTGTAAAGTTTAGGTGTGCTAAGAAAAGATTTTACGAAATTCAACCATAAAGGGGTGAAAAAGGTAAAAAATTTGTATGAAAATTTTTACTGCGTGGGTACATTAGATCAAAACTTAGGTCATAAATTGTGAAAATAATAATAATTAATGATCTGTAAAGCATTTTTATGAAATCATCCCTTATTATAAACTTGAAAATTAAATGAACTTTTTTGTTTCATTGTAGAAAATTATTTATCATAACTGAAGTTCCAGACAGATTGGTAACCTGAACGGCCCCAGGCTTTTGCCCATTCATGCTAAGTGACTTTGATTACAAGCATTTAGCTTTCTGAAATCTATGAGAACAATTATTTGGCATTGACGGCTGCGAATTTCGCGCCAATAAGCTGCCAACTTGTTCGATTATGTTATCAACTCAATTTAATATTTATTTTCACATTTTCACTTTGCGGTCCTTCTCCGGTTTTTTCCCGTTATTTACACATGTAGGTCATTTCATTGTTATCCCCATTTGATATCATCACTTATCACATACTGCCATGACGCTCATGTCTGTCTGCTACAACTGTCAAGAATTCACGCGGTTGGCAAGCATAGTGACAGCAGGCCAATAGAGAGCAGGGTGCGTGATCCTTGCCATAATGCAGTTTGCGTGCCAATTTTCATACATGCATTAATCAAGCCAAATAGTTTGCCTGAATATTTGGCTATTCAGCCACACTCCTGGCCAAATATTCAGTATTCAATAGTATATTCGACCTAAGGCCAAATATACTATTCGTTGCATCACTAAAATATACCTTCAAAAAAATGTTTCATACCTAAGTTTATAAATAAAAATAAAATATACTCCACAGCATGTTGGACTTATACTACTATCTGTGATTATTATAATAAATGGCACTTACCTGATTTACTGTTTAATAAATTGTAAAAAAATTTGAATATTGATGTCAACTATTTCATTTGAAAGTAATTATCTTTCATTAATAAGCCATTTTGTTTTGACTTTTTTGTGTTAGAAGTTTTATATAGATCAATTTTATTATTCACAAGAAAATTCAAAGTTAGAACAGATATATTTGGCTTAATTTAAAAAAAATTTTTAGTTGTGTTTTGTAAATATTTTTTATCTCACTTATAACAAAAAACATAATTTGTTTTTATTTATAGCAACTAATCAGTTTTTACCATATTGTGTTTTCTGTATAATATCCATTTTATTTTGGAATCTAGTTCTATTTTACAGCAATTTTTTCAGCCCTAAATAAAATTCATAAGACTTATTTCACGTTTGTGGTTCAGTATTTATACAAAAATATAGTCTAAACTCATTTCTTGTACTTGATAAGAAGTTATTTATATCACAACAATAACTTCTAGCCTAGATCAGAGCAAATACAAAAAATATTTATAGGTTGCACTAAAATAATTTCACAAGATNCACGAAGAGTCGGAAACGCCGCCATTGGGGTTACCTAGGTATACTTTGACCCCATTATTAATATTAGAATAAAAAATATGCACATACATTTGGTTAGTAATGCATTGTTATCTGCATTGCATACATTGCAGCATGCATCTCTAATACATGCTGCAATGTATACTGAATTTTGCAATTAATTTTACTGTAACATTGCATTTATGTATTTTCACGAACACAGTTTTAGGTATTTAAAGGAAACTAAGGAAACTGTTTAAATAAAAAGTATATTGATTTATGGTCTACATGGTTTAATAAATGTATAAGTGGTAACTATAGATTACCATATAACTTTAATTACCTGTATTTTATTATAAATGACTGAAGTGAATCAGAACAATATTCTCAGATTCCTTCAATTGGGAAAGAAAATTTTTATATATGTATATTGGTATATGTGTGAGAATTTTAGCTCAGATATTATTTTAAGTGGCAGATATGATAAATTGCATCCTCAAATATGGCAATGTTAAGTGTCTTCACATTGGCAGTTAAATCAATCGTGACTGACTCATTAGCAGAAGGAAACAAATTAATTTTACAGTTATACTAAATTATTTGGGGCAGTGCTACAGTTTCTCCATCCAAAAAGAAGAAATATCTGATTCATCACTTAAGAATATACAGGCTATATGGCATGAACTTTCCCAAGAAAAGAAGCTAGTTTTTTGAGACTTGTGGGACTTTACAAAGATTTGTAATCTTTGTAAAATAGTAAGTTCTGATGATGGTTTGTAAAATACTAAGGCTGAGTAAAGGCAAAAGGAAAAGATATTCAGTATGGTAAGAAAAAGACAGCGATAGGAAATAAATAACAGAAAAATTATTGTCTTTCATAATTGCAGTGAAAGTTAATAAACTAACTGATAGCAATCGTCATGAGTACATTGTACTGTAACTAAAGAAATTATTAACAAAGCAAAACATTGCACAAAAACATATAACAGGAGGCACCTACACCTAGATTTATCCTAGGTTTTTATACCTAGATAGATTTGTACCTAGATAAATCTACATCTAGATTTATGATATGTTCTATCTTGATGTGTCGTGAATTTTGATTCTGCATGATGCACTCATCATGCAGAATCAAAATTCATGACACATCAAGATAGAATCTAGGTATATGTCCCATAAAATAGTTGACCTATTTTTAAATTGTGCAGTCTAGAGTATGACAATAGCTTTATAAGATATCATATGCGGAGATGATGTTAAAATTTTCTTTATTAAAGGTATTGAATATAAGCATTCTACAATATCAATGTTAATTAATAAAAAATTATTTTGCTTTTTATGCTGTCAATGTTTTTATACCAGCGTCCCAGCTATTCCCCATTTTAAAGGTTGTCAAGTATGTATGTAATATGTTTTGTGTTACATCATTAGTTTTTAGAGTACTATACATTTTATAATAGTTTTTATTTTATTTTTTTGTAAATGTTATGTAATTCATATGTAGCTCTTACAAATATTCAATTATAATTTTAACCACAAAACAACCATTTATTAGGCAGTAAATGTTTAACTATGCTATAAACAAAAAATTGTAGGATTACTTACCGAGTGTGCACCGTTCAACGACGCCATTGCTTAAGCTTGTTTTCGTCGTGGAGTGGTGCATTGAATGGCGCTCGCATGCTTCCTGATAAATTATTTTTCTGCGAAAACTTTGCTGAATTTTGGAGACATCATTAATATAAATATAATTTTTATGGATATTAAATAATAAATGGTTTTTAGTAGGTCTGCTGCTCATTTAAACTCAATGGTTTGTGCAATATCCGCTATTGGTCTAGATTCAACTAATCCTGTCGCGACACAAGTCGGCGATGACATTTTACTGAATTATACAAGTTTCTTTTAGCGTGTTTATATGAATATGGTCGCAATTTTTTCAGTCATATAGGAATCCGAACTGTATGAACCCGTTTTATAGGGGGTTTACTGTACTGATTGCTATAGAAGAACTTTATCATTTCAATTGACAAGTAAATATAAAACACAGCTTAACAATTTATTCTCAAAGTTATAGTGTGATGTTCTAAATAATGACATAATGCTTTATGTAGATATATTCATTCTGAGATTTGTTGGAGATGGCAAATAATCATAAATATGATTAAGAGAAATGTATGTTATGTTAAGAGTGGTCAAAGAAAATAATATTTAACATTGTAGTGAAATTAGCATTTCACCAACTAATCATATTAAATCAAATTTATATCAATTGTCAATTGACTTCCTCTTCTTATCAATGAAACAAACTGAACAGATCTTAAAACATCTTAATCTTATGTCTATATATTTGTCAATATGTTTAAAGATAAATAAACATGTATATAAATATATATATATTTATAATTACTTGAAGTGATATTATATCTGCAGAGTAATGCCGAATTTCATTCATAATTCCTTTCCTTCTGTATTCCCAAGACAGAGCCCAACTTGGACAATAGCCATACATTTGTCTTGTGGCATATTTATCACACAAGACATTATAACACATCACAGTAAAAACACCTGAAACATAAAATAAATTTAGACATTTATTCAAAATAATTATAGCCAGAAAAGATATCAACTTGATAATTACACATTTAGAATATAATTATGATTCAAAAATTATCTATATATAACTTAAAAATCATTTTATAATTAGATACAGATAGGATAGAAAATTTAAAAATACAATTTATTTTTAAGCAACTTCCTTCTGTAAAATCTTGGGTATATAATTACAATTATACCAGTAAAATGGAGTGAATAAATTCTGTGTAAATGTAAATGGTTATGTAACTCCAATAATGTTAATGATGTAACCTCTTAAGTTGTCTTTAAAAAAATTGTTCTTATCCTCTAACAACTTTCAGTGAGTGATATAAAAAAGTAATCAAATTTCTACTTTTTTCTTTTTTAATTGATGTTTCTTTTCACCCATGGGTTGAAAGGGCCCCACACATAGCCACATTCTTCAAATTAACAGATTTTCACAACATACAGTTTGCTTAGTCCTTATATTCCATATACCTTCACCGCAGAGAAATCACCAAGCCAATAAAATAAATCAAGACCAATATGGAAACATAAATAGATTTTTTAGCTATTTCAGAGCTAGGTCTTAAACTTCTTCAAATTTTAAACCACTAGTATTGAAAAAATTACATGGATGAATAGAAACAGACATTTTTTTTATTGTGTTTCTATTCACTCCATGAATTCAAATCATTACGTCACAGAAAGAGATCACTGAATTATAAAAAAGGATTCAAAATATGAGTGACTTTGACAAAATTTTAATGAAATGATACTATGGCAATACCATAACACACATTTTTTAATAAAGTGAATTTTATAATGATACCAGTAAAGTTGGTCAAACACCAAAAGCATATATTCAACCATTAAAACATGCAAACAGATCTGGCATCTGAACATGTTGCCAGCCAAATAAAACTATGTTCATATTTTGAAAAAGAATGTCTAAAGAGATAGCATAGAGAAATTTTTTAATTTGTTGATTAGTTTCTTTGCCAGGCATATACAAAATTTTCTTGGAGTTTTGTTTATACAGTGGTACCTCAGGATACGAAATTAATCCGTTCCGAAACTGAGATCGTATCATGAAAATGTCGTAAGGTGAATCATCTTTTCCCATACGATTACNATATAATCAATAATTAAAAGATTTAATATTAAAATTATTCAGAGAGCCAATATTTTTCAATTGATGTGTTAAGATTTTCATATAGAAGTCAGTACATTTAGTATCAAATAATTTAAATTTTTAGTTTAAGTAAATGCATTATACACTCAAAATTTATATGTTAATAGTAGTCAAAACATTTAAAAATTAGCCATTAGTTTAGTCACCTTCTGATTTATTCGTGTACGCACCAGATGGAAAAAGAAAAAATATTGTGTATCCACAAACACTCCAATAAATAAATAGAATTGAAATGACACTTTGAAATGTTTTCCCAATGAAAATGAATAATAATAATAATAAGTTTCAATAAAAATGATAAAATGTAAATTGAATTTTATCATAACGAGTTTGCTTGAATTTCCTTTCTCCTGAGATCGCAGCAATGCGCAATGGGTAAGCTAGTTTATTATAAAATAAAAGGTGTCAACATTGAAATATATTTTAAAACATAAAAATATAACCACATTTTCAAATAATAATATCATACTATTAAAGCAATTAATATGTTGTACCTGTATTCGCTTATTCTTTTGGAGTTATATACTGGACATGCACACTTCTTGAGCAATTTGAAAGGAAAACAACAACACTTATTAAGCATAAAAAATATCATCCAAAACCATCTATAAAAAGACTAACTTTTCCTTGTAAAGATGTTAGCCATGGGCTGGCTAATATTAGATTTAAATAAATGAAATGACCAATTTTTACTTCTGACGTTGAATGTTTAGTAATTTAATTTAAAACTTACACATTCAACCAAAATTGTCACCACCAACATTAATACTCTCTTCCCCCTGCAATAGAAATGCATTAATGCAATTTGATAGAAATCATGAGAATGAGAAGCCAAGAAGTCATTAAATTGTATCCTCTTCCTTGAAGACTTAGTGATAGTCTGTTGGCAAAAAGTATGGAGAATAAGGTGAATGAGGAAGAATTTTATTTTAATAATTTCATGTCCAAGCAGATAAGTGTTGTTATTGCTGCCAAAGATGACTACTCTGGGTATTAATTTTTCATGATCTATACCTCCAAATTTCCTGAAAATTTAATTATTTGTTCTTCCCACTATAATGTGTGTGTGTAATAAATATCATTCTGTTTTTTGCATTCCTTCCTGGTGTAGCAATTTTAATGGCCAATAGTGTATTATTATGTTATAATAGTTATATAAAATATGCTATTTTAACCTCTCACATATATAATTATTTAAATCAACATAAGTTTTATCTATCAAAATTTCATACTTCAGAATTATAAATGAAAAAAACAACAAAATATTTTAAAAAATTGATTCAGTAACATATAAAACTAATTTTTATTAATTAAATATTTATATAGGTTACAAAAAAAAATTTTAGTAAATATATCACAATCTAAGTACAATAATATCTAACTTCTTTATTACTGAAAGTGACTGAACTAATTATAAAATAATTAAAAGCAGGTCAATTTGCAAATGAGAACAATATAAATATTTCAAATTTAAATAATAATTTTTAAAAATCTTAATTCTACACATTTTTTAAAAATTTGGTTTTTACTGAAATACTATTTCTTAACTCAAACTAAATTTAACTAAATGCTTGAAATTTATATTTCATATTAATTAATGTACTATTTTAAACAACTGATTAATAATAATAAAAAAAAAAAACTTAAATTACTGTTGATGAAATTACTGTGCTATTTAATTAATTAATTAAACTAAGTTTCAAAATGAAGGCTTGACAGATTCAGAAGTTTATGATTCTGCTTCTTTAAGTTTTATTTATTTATTATGAATCAAATCTGAATTTCTGAGTAATAAAAATTTCAAGCAATTGACAAACAATTTGTTTGTAATAATCTAAAGATCTGTTTTCAAATATTATTGAAACAATCAAATAATCGGTAATGAAGAATAATGTGAGTAATGATCTGTCAAGTAATAAGAAATAATAGAAACTGAGTTTATGATCACAATAAGAATATTTTTTCTATACACTTTTTAAATAAAGTTAATCAGAATGTAATAATTCTGATGATAATGAACTGAAAACATTCAATATATGTTAAATATATTCAACCAATTCTGAAAATATTCAAATGACTATCAGTATGGAGTATATTTCATTTTTACTTATTTAATAATACAATTTTTTAACAAGACAATTCATGTTAACAATTTTTATTATGATATTTTATCATAGAATACAAGTAATACAAGCATCCAAAGACATATAAATGAGAAAAAGCAGTATAATTTCTATTCTTGTATATGTATATGTATATAGTATATGCACTAAACCATACATCTTCATTATTGCAACTTAATAAAACCAATTTTATTTGAAAATTTAATTTATATCAAATAATAACCAATCACATTTCTCCTACTTAAATATCTCTTAAATATACTAATGATGCAACGAATATTTGGTTACTATTCAGCTGAATATCTAAAAGAAAAAAAATAAAAATAAAAAAAAAGTAAGAAATAACAAAAAAACAGTAAATTAATCATTTTGGTAACTTTTATTAATGCTGAACATACATTTCAAGTTTGAGAAAGTTATATTACCTTCCCTTTGATCTTTTACATAAATAAGCAAAAAATTGCACTAAGTTAATTTTTTAGGAGATAAAAAAAAAGGTAACAAATCATATGAAAACTACCTACTTATTATGTAGTTTAGTCATCTATATACTCGTGTATAAAAGAACAAGTCCTGATAGGATAATTAACGCAGAGCCAAAACTACTGGTTCTAGAATTTGAGGGTGTGTTCCTTTTGTAAAGTTTAGGTGTGCTAAGAAAAGATTTTACGAAATTCAACCATAAAGGGGTGAAAAAGGTAAAAAATTTGTATGAAAATTTTTACTGCGTGGGTACATTAGATCAAAACTTAGGTCATAAATTGTGAAAATAATAATAATTAATGATCTGTAAAGCATTTTTATGAAATCATCCCTTATTATAAACTTGAAAATTAAATGAACTTTTTTGTTTCATTGTAGAAAATTATTTATCATAACTGAAGTTCCAGACAGATTGGTAACCTGAACGGCCCCAGGCTTTTGCCCATTCATGCTAAGTGACTTTGATTACAAGCATTTAGCTTTCTGAAATCTATGAGAACAATTATTTGGCATTGACGGCTGCGAATTTCGCGCCAATAAGCTGCCAACTTGTTCGATTATGTTATCAACTCAATTTAATATTTATTTTCACATTTTCACTTTGCGGTCCTTCTCCGGTTTTTTCCCGTTATTTACACATGTAGGTCATTTCATTGTTATCCCCATTTGATATCATCACTTATCACATACTGCCATGACGCTCATGTCTGTCTGCTACAACTGTCAAGAATTCACGCGGTTGGCAAGCATAGTGACAGCAGGCCAATAGAGAGCAGGGTGCGTGATCCTTGCCATAATGCAGTTTGCGTGCCAATTTTCATACATGCATTAATCAAGCCAAATAGTTTGCCTGAATATTTGGCTATTCAGCCACACTCCTGGCCAAATATTCAGTATTCAATAGTATATTCGACCTAAGGCCAAATATACTATTCGTTGCATCACTAAAATATACCTTCAAAAAAATGTTTCATACCTAAGTTTATAAATAAAAATAAAATATACTCCACAGCATGTTGGACTTATACTACTATCTGTGATTATTATAATAAATGGCACTTACCTGATTTACTGTTTAATAAATTGTAAAAAAATTTGAATATTGATGTCAACTATTTCATTTGAAAGTAATTATCTTTCATTAATAAGCCATTTTGTTTTGACTTTTTTGTGTTAGAAGTTTTATATAG